TTTACATAGTCTAAAAAAACCTTTTGGGGGGGGGGGAATTGGGACTTATTTTGCATATTTTCGCTCACGAATAGTCGATTTGGCGTTATTATACAGCCTCAATAAAAATTTGGTCCTTTTCTTGACTAAGTCCCTACCAGGAAATCGGTCCAGGTTCGACCCCGCCCGGCGTCTTTTTTGCTTTTTGAATTTCTATGTCAGCGCGGCCGGATTTTTTCGTAGATGTATCAGTATGCATCGTAGCACTAAACTAAGACCCAAAATATATATTAATATGGCGAATTTAAACTCGAAATGGCTTAATTTTACATTATTACCCTGATATCGGTCGATATTTAGCTCTTAAAAATTGTTATAACTTTGAAATTTAAATTTTATTAACAGAACTGCTGCAAAACTTGTCCATTAATACCGTATTAACAGCAAAATACCTTGAAATAGTGTTAAACCAGCTTGGCGGGAGTTTTTTGGCCAACTCCGTATTTGACCCTTCGAAGTCGGGCCGGCCCGGCCCGGCCCGGCCCGGCCCGGCCCGGGCCGGGCCCGGGCCGAGAAAAATCGCTTCGGGCCGGGCCGGGCCGGGCCGGCGAAATCGCGGTCGCGGGCCGGGCCGGGCCGGCCCGGCCCGGCCCCCGTCCAGGCCTGGTAACAAGCATCAAAATACCTGGAAGAACAGGGGAAAAACGATGGAGAATGTGAACTAGGAATCATCCAAGATCCCAAAGTTGCTGCTCGTTAGAATATCTTCCTAACTCTTGCACTATTCCAAAACAAGGAAATATTTATGCAAAAAAGAAATAAAAGCGAAAATGATAAGTTAAAGCGACTCGAACTGATTATTCTACCAGTAATGTAAGTAATAAGGTTCAGGGATGGCACTCCTAAGACATCAAAAGTTTCTTATCTGTCAATGAAAAACTCCAAAAATTAGGTAACCATGGATAGAACGGCTAGATTCACGCCTATGCTATTATTTCACGCCAAGAATCTTATTAGCCTTAATATGGAATTAGCTAATTAAGGTATGATAATTTTGCTGTGGTGTCCGTCAGTCTGTCTGTCTGAAGCCAACTATAACTCAAAGGGGAGAGGAGCCAGAGCTTAGGTCTCTTCGGATTCGGATAGAGCGCGGTCAGAAACCCCTTAAATCATCAAAACATTATAAAAAAGTTTTCGTTTAAATTATTAAAATTAACTTTGAAAGTGGCGCCTTAATAAAACGAGTGGGGGCCCCTCTCCCGGGAGGCCACGCCCCCTTTCCCTTCGCCCCTCTTCCCCAGGCCCCTTCCCACGTCCAAATAGCTTTTTAAGTTACTTTAACACTTTTAATACTTTTTAATTATGCTAATTTATTATTTAAATCATTTAAAGTATCGGGATGGAATCCAAGTAGTTTTTTAAGGGGGTTTTGGCTATGGAGGGTATCTAAGCCATCAGCACGGATATTGATAAAGTTAGAGAAGGAATGTTGTGGTGTAGAATATGGAAGGTAGCCCGAAGGGCCGCGACGCGGCTGTAATCGGCTGGTGAAGGTATGATTCATGAACGAGGCCAACAAGGATCGCTCGCTAAAGAAAATCGCCAAAAAGGTATCGATCGAAGACTTGCTCAAGACTCAAGACTCTAACTCTAACTCTCTAACTCAAGACATTAATTAACGTCTAGTCTAACAACAAAATTAGGAAAGGTATAAAAAAATCCTATTAAAGTATGATTCATCGAATACGCAAAAATGAACCGGTTCGATAATCTAGTGCTCAACTTTGCTATAGAAAACGCAATCCAGTGAAGATATTTTCCCCAGGGGGATGGGCCCCGTCAATCTTTTCTGTTATTGTTACCTGGGCCCTAATGAATGGGTGTGTGGTGGGCCCTAATGAGGGCCCTTCTTTCCGCTTCTCTCCTTTCAAATCATTGCCTTTTCGAGCGGGTATTCAGCCTTGAGTCTTCTATTCCGCAAATCCGCTCAATTGCTCGAGGATTAAGCGACGAAGACGATACAGATGGATTAATGAAGAAATCGTCTATTGTTTTCTGGCGTCTGGACAAAATTTATTAACTTGTATTTGACTAATAATAAGTTCAGAGCTATTTTCCGGTTACTACTTTGAATTAAAGGAATTGGCAAGACATGGATATGGATTTCCCCGAAAAAATGTTGGGCTACAGTTTGCTTTATCCCCTGCCGGAGGTTTTTGGCTATAACTTTTTTATTTTACATTATTGTAACTAAAGTTAAAGCACTTAAATCGACGTTCTATCGAATGGAACAAAAATCCCGACAAAATAAGCGAAAATACCGAAAACTTTGAGACCCTTCGGCTGTGGGGAGGCCGAAAGAATTTTGTATTGAGCTGACCGGACCGTTAACGTTGCAGGCAACACGCCGCTCAGGCTTGCCTTCATACTCCCTTTAAAAGTACAAGCCCCCCGGCCGCACTCAAAATTGCCGGGGTTGCTAAAAATCTGCGATTTGCATCCCCAACGGCTCTGGAAACAGTTCGAAATTACCATAGGTATCTACAATATTAACCGAGATGCCAAAATCAAGCCTGGACCTCACCTCACTTCTTGAAGATGCCATCTCCTGTTCCGGTTCTTCTTCTGCTCACCGGCCTTCTTGGGTTCTACCTGCACACCGTGGCCGGCGACTGCTACCAATGTTTCCACGGCGTCAGGCCCGACGCCGCAACCATGGGCAAATTGCAGGGTTTTTGATGATTAAGCTAGGTTGAATCTTGGCTATAACCTGAATTGCTTGGCTTATAGTTAGCCTTAGCTTAGTTTTAGCGTGGGCTTAGCTTTGGCTTAGCTTAGGCCTAGGCTTAGGCCTAGCTTAGGCTTAGCTTAATCTTAGCTTGGGCTTAGCTTAGGCCTAGCTGTGGCTTTATTTACTCTACTTTCGCTTACAAGACTTGTTAGACTTGCCCTAGACCAGAACTCTTCCAGGCCGCTCGCGCTCCAGGAGATGTTCCGGGCCGCGTCGCCGCACTCCAAATGTGAGAACGGCCATGTGGGACTATTCAGCAGATGCCTATAATTCCGTTTTCACTACGTCGACATATTCGTTTCCAGCCCTCAATCCCAAAGTGCCCGGGTGACAAGTGCATGATCCTGCGGCAGGAGCAGGACAACGGAAGGGCCTTCCTTTTACGCGCGTGCCACAACGCCCCCTCATTCGAGGTTGGGCAGACGAAGATCGACGGGCCGGGCGGTGGGTGGTGTCCTGACGCCTTTAAACAGAGGGAAAGGTCATGGCGTTGCCTGACGTACTTTAACTAGTTTTCGGTTGTTCACGGGGAACCAAATTTTCCCCCGTGACTCTTTGCGGCCCCATAACATAATATAAACCTTTTTATGGCAGTTTACATAGTTTTTAAATAGAAAAACAATATAGAAAGTAATACTTTTGACTTTTTGATCTAAAATGCAGGAAAAATGACCAAAAAAGACTAAAATTTTCCGGTTGTCAAAATTTTTAACCCGCTCTCATTGTCAGTCCAGTACTGTAGTTTGTAGCTAGTTAAAAAATCGTTAATAGTCGTTTTAATAGCGTAATCGGTTCCACGCCGTCACTGTCCAAATTTCAGCCACCCAATGGGAGCTGGACTGCCAGGGCCATCTGTGCAACAAGCTGACGCTGGCCCAGCTGAAGGACGGCGCCAAGCCGATGGCCATCGAGAGGTCCATGAAGATCCGCGCCGACATGGCCCACGAGGGGTCGCATGAGGAAGCCGCTGCCACCCCGGCTCCGACCAGCGCCGCCTCGTCTTCTCCTTCAACTTTCGCCTACCCCCTCATCACCATCTTTATCGTCATACTGCTCGGATTTTTCTGAATTTTGTGATTAGCGCTGAAATGGAGTTGAATAAATAGGCGGAAAGCCGGATTGTATTTTTGAAGTTATTGCGTCGTAAAGGTGCTTTGAGGTTTCGAAATCAATATTCAAGGCGCTGAGTCCACTGTACAGTTTATCTTTTAAAAGATCGGCAAGCCGTGGCAATGGATTCCGAGCCTGACGTTTGTTGAATATCGATTTCCTATCGATTTGGGCAAAGAATGGGGCCATTTCGGTGTTTTAAGGAGTTTTAAACCCGAAACGGGCAAGGCATTACGAGGTTTTCGGCCCTGGACAGTTCGCGGAGGTTAGCGGAGCTCTCACAGCGTACTTTTATTAAGTTCTGAGCAATTTTGGTTACAGGAAAATTCGCAAGCAACTCATTTAAAATCGTGAAATTTTTTTGATAGTAAGGATTCCCAATGGATTGATCCGCGATTTATTTATTGAACGCGTTGATTTCGATGTTAAAGGAACATTCACCTCTGAATTTTATGAAATCGGTCCACGCTATAGCAGGACATGTTTCCTAAAGCGTGGATGAGATCTCCCTGACAAAGGTTATAACTTTGGAATCCGAGCGATTTTGCAGTTTTTGAAAACAGATTCGGAATCAGCAAAAAATTCTGCGCAAGATGTGCTAGGTCCCATTTTGGAGTCCCACCGAGTCTTTGAGCTTTGAGATGTGCAGAGACTGAATCTTTTTTCTAGGAAGCTTGCAGGTCAGGTTTAAAGGGACGACCAGAGTCGATAATGCGGCTTTTCAAATTTCATGCTTAAATAATAAGCACGTTCGCTAAAAATTCAAGAAAAATTGCCGCCCCAAAACGTCACGTTTCCGGCTTTGTTCTTTTTTCTTCCCGTTTTTCCAAATGTTCTCGATTTCAACTTCCTTCGTTTGCAATGTGACATGACATTTCATGTTAGTCATGTTGCAACATCCCTTCCTAGCTACCCCCCGTTTGTTCACAGAAACCAGCCAAAGCAGAATTTCCTCACATTTCGATGTTTTCGGAAACAGTCAATTTCCCCGTTTTAATTTCGTTCCGATTCGTTCCCTAATCATCACAAAAAGTCCCCTTTGATTAGTTCTCGTTCGCGACAAAACAAGAACATTCGGCTTCAAAAGGGCATCCAAGAGACCTCGAACCATTCCTGGAAAATGTCCGCTCGCGCCCCGGTCCTTCTGCTGCTCGCCTGCCTCCTCGGCTTGTACCTCCATGCCGTCGACGCCGAATGCTACCAATGTCTCCAAGCCGACCCCATAACCCAGGCGCTTTTATCAAAGCAGTGAGTTTGCACCAGTTTAAATTTGAAAAAGTGCCTATAATGAAAGCTCAAAAAGCCCGCTACTAAACGAAGATCACTCTACAAAACCCTTTCAGCCCGGTGATGTCCGAAATGCTGATTGGGGCCCGTTCTCATGCAAGCTGCGATCATGCAAAGGTACCCCATAGTTATTAAAGCTATCACCAGGGTTGCCCGCAGGGTCGAAAAACCGCTTCGCGGTTTTTCAGTCATGTTCCCGTCTCATGCTGACCGGGTTTTTTGGTACAAATAGGATAACGGGGGAAATAACGGGGGGCACTCAAACTTTTTATATGATAAAAGTATTTTTAAATAAGCTTTTTTCGGGCTGTGAAAAAAACTCTTAGTATATTTTTCGGTCCTCTATCGAATGGCATTTTCAAAATGTCGAAAATATTCAAAACGCCGAAAATTTTTCCCCCCCCTGTTATCCTATGTGCTGCCCATAGTTTTCAAAAATAGTTTTTAGGCTATAAAACTTTTATAATACATTTTTTCGCGTTGTAAAAAAATCTCTTAGTATATTTTTTGATGTTCTATCGATTCGCGTTCTCAAAATATCAAAAATCTCAAAAATTTGGCTTTCCCCCCGTTATCCTATGTGCCGCCCATGAATTTTGATCAATTTTTGTTTATTCGATAAAAAATTTCATTTACAGTATTTCGGGCTGAAATTAATTTTCCTAGGGCAGTTTTTGACGCTTTATCGAATGACGTTTTCAAAATACCGAAAATTTCGAAAATTTCGAAAATTTGGCTTTCCCCCCGTTATCCTATGTGCTGCCCATAGATTTTCCTCAATTTTTGTTTATTCAATAAAAAATTTCTATTACATTATTTCGGGCTGAAATTAATTCTCTTAGTACAGGGTGTCCCAAAAAAAACGAACCATCTGGCATTTCGCCGTGTTACATCCAATTGGCCCCAAATTTGGACCAGAGGTGTATCAGACTCTAAATAACAACAATCCTGACTTTTAGCCACGTAGCTATAGTAGTTCTCGAGTTATGCCAAAAACAAACTTTATTTTCCATTTTTCACAGGGTTTTCGTGGAATTAAACCCCCTAAATATTAAGTGAAAATGATCCGGTAGGCCTTCTTTACCTCAAGAATTTTTTCCAGAGTAAAATTAATTAAATAAGGTTCGATTTAAGCGATTTTTACAACGCAAAATTACCCAAGTTCTTAAGCGCAATTAGGGATTCGCAGCCGGAAGTCGATGCAAATCGATGCAAAGTCCAAAAAAGATAGCCGAAAAAACTGTTTAGAATCCTCTGAAAAACAGTATTTTCGTTATAACTCAAGAACTACTGTAGCTACGGGGCTAAAAGTCAGGATTGTTGTTATTTAGGGCCTGATACACCTCTGGACCAAATTTGGGACCGATTGGATGTAACACGGCGAAATGCCAGATGGTTCGTTTTTTTTTGGGACACCCTGTATATTTTTTGACGCTCTATCGAATGGCACTCGCAAGATCCCTCAGTAATTGCAAATTTCATAATAATGAGTGCCCCCCCGTTATTTTATTCCCCCCCCCCGTTATCCTATGTGTACCGGTTTTTTTACAAAAAAAAATTTGATTTATTAGCGAAAATAGCCGATTTTGAAGTGTCTACCAGGTGTACAGTCATCCTGAAAATGACATAGAATCGTATTGGAACGATAGTTACATCATTCAAAAACCTTTCAAACGGCGAGCTTAGAATCATCTACAAAACGTGTTTTTATTGAAATCCGCTATTTTAAAGCCATTTGGTAAAATTGTGCGGTTTTTCTGGGGTCGCATATCCACAATTAGCTTTGTTTTAGCCAAGGGACATGACCGGAAGCAACCATTTATCGGATGCAGGAGCCGTTTCTTAAAGCTTTTAAAGCGCTAGTTCAACTTTTAAAGCTTGAGCTGGCACCATGGGACACTATGGACGCAGCAATCGCGTGCATGGACAGTCCCCCATTACGACAGTTATTAGACAACGGGGAAATGACAGAGGCACAGGCACAAAAAATTCAAATTCTTTTACTGCATTGGCTGAACTAGCTTTAGGTGCGTTGTAAAATGGCTCGCTTCAATAAAAACAAGGTTAGGAAGATTGTGGCAGACTCGCGGGTTCCAGCGCTTGCGAATCGTATCCCTAGCATTCGCTAGTTTTTACCGCTTTGCATTTCCTCCGGATACAGTGGCGAAGTTACCGGGAGGAACTATTTTTCTATTAAGAAACAAGATTAACAACAATTTTCAGGAAGAGTGGGAAATATGCCCACGCACCGAGTGCTTCCACTTCATCATGGAAGTTCACGAACAAGGATTGATCTATCAAGCAGATGTCCGAAACTGCGTCCCAAAAGATTTTTTGAAACATCTGGAACATCTGGAAGGGGAGGATCCGGAATTTTCCGGCACTGGATCCACGATGCATAAGAAGAACGGATCATGTAAGTGTTCAGTGAGCATTGAGGCATTTCATATGCAAAGTTCAACGTGACTCTATTGATTGCAGTGGAGTTCTGGGCGATCGCCTGCAACGACCCCCTGTGCAACGGTCAGCCGGCGAACGAGATGAAGCAGCAAGCTGTGAATGGTGCCGGACAACCCGCGCTGCTGCTTGCCCTCTTCGCCCTCGTCATCCCCCACATTTTTGCTCAATTTTAATGGCGATAAAAGGGTTTTTAAATACGAAGAACATGCACTCGGATTGTTTTATCGGTTGGTCTTGGATCAATCAAACCTGCTTCAAGTTGTCGGCTAAAATCTTGCGAAGTACAGTGCGCAATCAGAGCACGCGCGTCTTTGATCTGAACATTTCTGAAAGGCAGCCCAGCGTGGCTTCTAGAGCAGATTTACAGAGGAGTTTTTAATATAGATAAACATTATAGGGATTCTAAAACTTGAATAAATTTAAGAGAAATAACGTACGTAGGATAGGCACGTAAAATAGAGAAGCCCTAATGAGAGAAAAGTTCAATTAAAAAAAAAATTAAAAACCCGCGCCTTGAAGCAATCATCATCGTCCTGCTTCTCGCTTTTCCTCCATTCGACCGGAAAAAACTCGGAGCAATGAATCATAAAAAAAATCAAAATTCTTGACACCCGATCATCGCTAGACAAAGCATAACTTTGCGCTTGAAATATGATTGGAGAGCATCAATTTTTCATTGCTCCCATCTTTCAGTTTCTGCGAGATGGCTGCCGGCGCTAAAAATTTTACTGTTCTACTTTTATTCAATTTATCCGCTGTATTTCTTGGGCAATCTACAGCTCCGGAATCTTGCAGAAAGTGCTCTTTGCTCGACGACATCATGGAGGTCGACGGCAACTACAAGAGAAACGTCAGACACACACTTGAGAAAAACAACGACAAAAAGGCCGGCCAGGAATTCGAGACGGTCAATGATGCTTCCGGAACCAATGATACTAACAAAGCCATTTTGAATAACACTAATTCTACAGCTAATGAATCCGGAAACGCTACGATTGGTACCAACGGAACTGAAGCAGCTGGACCAGGAAACTTCAACGACACCGAGCAGTTCGGCCTCGGTAATGCTACGGATTCCGAAAAGACTTCTCTATCACCGTCTTCGAAAAACGTCACTACCGCTGGCGTTGATACGGTAAATTCTGAAAGCAGCCCGCAAAATCCGGTCACCACGGCATTTCCGGAGATGAACAATACCGAGAGCAACGTATCCACCCCTGAATCTGGGTGGAGCCAAACGTCTGAGTTTCCGAATTCCGGAGATGATCTGACCACCACGAACACGCTGGAAAACTCTACTCCCGAAACCACCCAATCTTCGTCCTCTGCTCAACTACCAAATGATGGAGATGAGCTGACCGCCACTCATTCTGAGCCCAACCATGGTCAAACTACAGAAACGCCAAATCCTGGAGATGACCGAAACACCATGACAACGCCGGAGAATTCCAAACCTGACATTCCAACGCCAAACACGCTCATTGCTGGGGAAACAGACATAACCGCTTCTCAATCCTCGACGACCGGATCCGGAACGATGCTCGCAATTGCCTTGTTTTTATCATTTATTTTGACGGCGGTTTAATAAATGTGCATCAAAGTGATAAAGAAAAATTTGAATAAATTTTTGTAAATATCGAAGATCAAAATCACACAAAAAATCAATAAAAAAAACAGCAATACACGCTAACTTTTGCGCCACCCTTGACCCATTTTGGTTTGCTGGCGATGAGTCAGCCATAATTCATAAGTTTTTGAGCCCTTTTCGTCCCCAGCCAAATCATAATTCGGGGTCGAAATGGGATGAGCGTTCATTTGGCTTTACATCATCATCAAGATTTGGCTTGAAAATGCGTTCCCGATCTAAACGGATTTCTAGTATTCTTTTATTAGCCTGCCTATTCGTTCACGCGTTGGCTCGACCGTCGGATTCTGGTGAAAACAAGTCCGCTGATAAGAAGCCGCATAATTCTGTATCCGGCGATGTTCAACCGACTCAAACGTCAAATTCTGTGGCTAGCCTGTCGACGACGAAGCCAGATACGGCTGAACCAGGGCCTGAAAATGGAAAAACCTCCAAGCCGCCGGGTTCTGCCGGCGCCACGATCACGACGACGCATTCTGGGCCTGTAAATTCTGAGAATGCAATTATTCGATCTTCTAGCACGCCAAATTCTGAAGCCAAAACCACGAAGGCGAAAAATTTTGGGGCTGGAAATCTACCACCCTTGCAGCTAACCAACGCAGGAGCAGACGTTTCCGCTACAACGCCGGCGAAGAAGACTGGAAATGCAATTATTCCATCTTCGAGCACGCCAAATTCTGGAACAAGAACTACAAAACCAAAATATGCTGATTCTACTACTGTTCAAACGACGACCACGTCGAATAGTGAAGCTTCAAAGATGCCATCTTCGAGCTCGTCAAATTCTGGAGCCACAACCACCAAGCCCAAAATACCCGCTCGTGGCAGTATTTCAACCTCCCATGCACCAAATTCGGGAGTTGACGTGGCCACTACTGAACCGGCGAAGCATGCTGAAACTCCAGCTATTCGATCTTCGAGTACGTCAAGTTCTGGAGCCACAACTACCAAAGCGAAAAGTTCTGATCTTGGCACTGTTCCAACGACCCAAACGCCAAATTCTGGAGCTGACGTGGTCACTACAAGTTCTGAAAACAACGCGTCGACTACCAAGCCAAAGAAGACTGAACCAGAACTTGGGAAGCTACAAAGCTCGAAGCTACCAAATTCTGAAGTTGACGTGTCCACGACAAAGCCGAAAAATGCTAAACTTTCCAGCACTAAAGCGTTCCAACCCCCGAATTCCGGAAATGGAATGTTTCCTACGAAGCCAAACGCTACGGGACCGAAGCAAAACGGTGAAGCCAAGTTCCATATGAGTGGACCGTCAGGTTCTGGAGCATCCCTAGGCGCTGTTGTTGGATGGAAGAATCTCGAAGAAACGGAAGGGAGAGCCTCCATCCCTCAAATGACGGCTTCTGGGTCCGGAACTGGCGTCACGATGGCCCTATTATTCGCAATCTTCTCCTTCGCGTATCAATAAATCTACAAGCGGCTTTTTGAGGCCTGGGTTTTCAATAAATTTGTTATCAGTAATCTTAATTGCACCAAATAAAATTAAAATACGGTAGAAGCCACGTCGTATCACTGGCTAAAACACTATGCAAACTTTCGGCATTTTCGGGAATTTTTGGAGCAATCCCTTCTTTTATTTCCGTTCCCTTTCTCCTCTTTTGAAGGTTTTAAGCGGTGACTCGGCCCGAATTCACCAATTCTCTCGATTATGAATCGTCGCTCATCATAATTGGTAGCCAAAATAACATTTTTGGAGCTTGAAATTGGCGCAAAAGACTAATTTTCCATTCGCTGCGAGGTCTCCTCTTGAAAATGGCTACTAACACCTTATCAAGCTGGATCCCGGTTTTTCTAGTATTATCTTGTCTATGCGGGTCATTTCACGGACGCCATACACAAATGGATAGATATAACCACGACTCGCTACTCGATGACCTCCTACAAGTAGAAAGTTTGCAAGGTAAACGCAACAGCTTATTTTGCCTTTCACTTTGGTGCTTTGCTATTATCGGGGGGGGGGGGGGGGAGATTGCCGAGTTCCAAAATTCTGTTAATATAGATGTGTGGAGTGTTTCTAGACTGTTTTTACTATTTTTAAGTCAAAAACTTCACAAATTTTCGTAAATCTAAAAAATGCAGATTTTTCGACCAAATTCCAAATATTTGGATTTTTTAACCTTGTTAAGCTAGTTTTTTACTTAAAATATCGCTTAATTTTGCTAAAAATAATATTAGCATACTTCATATTACGCTAATAGACATTGCTGAAGTTATACAAAACATCTGCCTCCCCCCGATAGTGCACAAGGACCGAAATTCTGAAACATTCTTTAGAACCTTCCGGAAATTGCTCTGGTTGTCAAGATCATAAAAACTCTTGGAATTTCGATTGATTTAAAAACAAGCCATTTTAGATGGTTCGTACAACAGCAGCGACTTCGGGGAGGGTAACTGGACGATTTTTGAAAATGGAGCTTTCAACGGGACAAACTCTTCAATGTTGGATACTACAAACTATACTATGGCTGATTTCGAACCGGAAAACATCACCGATTCGCCCGCCACCACTACTGAATTCCAATGGTACGATCTTCCAGCGGTGGATTATGAAGACGTGACATTTCCTTACGCGGAGGAGGCCCATATTCCGGACGATTCTGAACGCCTTCAAGAGCCCAAGACGTCAACCACAAAGCCAAAAAATTCGGAGCCCGAGAATTCTGGTCAAGAAACGATCTTTGAGTTAGATGCTGAGGCATTACGAGCTCTGGCGGAGGCCGAAATCGAGGCTCTGGAAGCAGAAGGAGAAGAAGTTGCAGTCCCCACCTCTCAAGCTTCAAGCTCCGGATCCGGCACGAGCATCACGATGGCCCTGCTTTTCTCAATTTTGGCCATTGCGCTCCAATAAACTGAGGATCTGCTCCACCTCGCTTAACTTGCAATAAATATCTGTTTTGTCGAAGGGAGTTAAAAAGGCATCCACAAGCCCCAAGACATTTATCAGTCGAGATCCATCCATTGCGATGTGTAGCGATAAGTATCTGTGCGTAGTCTTGTGTAAAAGACGCTTATCTGGTGCGTACTTGACTGATAGATGTCTAGCTTGTGCGTAATATGCATAGCAGGTGCGTCGCGTTTGCGTAAATCTACCTAGCCGATGCGACCCTGATGCGTAGGGGGCGCGTAGCGAAGCGTGTGCATAGTGTGTGTGCGCAACGGATGCTCAGGGTGTACTAGATGGTGCGTAGCGTGTGCGCAGTGGATCCATGGCGCGTGCATAGCTTATACCCAACGGATGCGTGGGGTGTTTGTCACGTGTGCGTAGCGTGTGCCTGCCACTAAACCACGAAAGCCGAATTTCGAAAACTTAGCCTTCGTTCGCTCAAAATTCCAGCAAGATGGGCCGAAACACGTAGGGATAAAAGTTTATTGATAATTAACTATACAGCACGAAAAAAGCATTCGATCGGTGATGATTGTTTCTAGGATCCGTTCGGTCCTTCCGTTCCATCAGCATAACCCTCCTTCAGCCATTCCACCGACGGGAAGTTGCAATTGTTGCTGGCGCAGCCGTAGTCCCAGATCGTGTCTGCAACAGCAAAAAGCGAAATGGCAATTCCAGCTCCAGCCCAGCCGGCCCAGCCGATCCCCAACTTTTGTATCCCAGCTCCCTGTTCATCTACAGGTGTGTAAAGTATACCAAAATGCTCGCCAGAGCAAGACGAACATTTTGCTATACTTTACACACGTGGAGATGAACAGGGAGCGAGCTACAAAAGTTGCGAGCCGGCTGGGGGGCGGGGTATCTGGAGTCTTACCCCGGAAATAAATCGCGCCCTTTACGGCGCTTTTGAGTTCATTTTGCGTCTTTTTTTACGTCGCGTTTCCGTCACTTACGGACCACGGCCACCAAGCGACAATTGAAAACCGGAAGGCTGCCTACAATTGGGAGTCTTGACCCTCCACCGATCACGCTTCCACTTGGGGCCCGCGTAGCAGTTCCTGACGGTGAGCGGCTGGTTGTCGGCGTCTTCGAGGCGTCGCGCAAAACATTTGCCTGCCGGACACTCGCTCACCTCGACGACGTCCTGAAAGGAGTAGCTGGCTTGCGGGAAAGCCTAGCGAAAAATTGAGGTATACAAATTTAGCACGTAAGTGAACAGATAAGTCAGAAGAAAGTTGAACAAACGCTTATTTCAAAAGATGCGATACCATCTGGTTCTCCTCTGCACAGTGCTCATTGTAGCCGACTCCCCCGTACAGTTCGGGTTCTCTAGAAAATACGCTGTGTTAGAATCTGTCGTAGTGTTTACAGCAGCTGAAATTGGAGAATGGCCTGCAGATCCCCAGACCAGCATTTGAAGCAGGTGACGGCGTTGACCAGGCGGTTTTGGTGGCCGATGACGGCGAGCAGTACGACCGCCCAGAAAAAATTGGGCATTTTGGTTGTAATGGGGGATTTTTGGAAGGAATTCTCGTTAAAATTCCTGGTGCTAATGTAAATTATGGTTTATTCATGTCTATTGGGAATTGAGAGTTCTAGCGGTCCTGAAAATGGGTGGTCCTCCTGATAACGACAGATGAAAACACTAATCCGCAATTTCAATAAACCGATATGAATTAATCTAATTAAATTCCATAATTCCCAACGAAAATGACAACGTCATTTCTGCCATATGTCTGCCCGCCATTCGGTGTTTCTAGCACTCGCCCTGATCGTCGTCTACCTCGGCGGCGATGAGGCGACGATGTGCTACCAGTGCAGATCGGCCGGAAATTGGTCCGACGAGCTGTAGGTTTCGGAGATAAAATACTTTGTACGCGAAATGCAGCCGCAAGCCGCTCTTCCATCACGCCGATTGTATGGAGGGTGGCGAGGTCTGTATCTTTCTCTCTTTCTCTCCCTCTCTATCTCTCTCTATTTCTGTCTCGCTCTCTCGCTCTCTCTTTCTGTGCCTATACTACGTTTTTCAGAACGTAACAACCTGCAACGGCACGTACTGCGTCGCGTACCTCGGCCAGGAGACGAGCGGCGAGTTGGGGATGATGCGGCATTGCGCCCAGGAGCAGCCTGAATGCATTGCTGGTAACTTGCCTCAATCTCTCTCTGCCTCTCTCTCTGCCTCTCCCTCTGCCTCTCTCACTCTATCGCCTGCTTTCCAGACGATGGCTGGGAGTGCGGCTGCGACACGGACCTGTGCAACGACTGGAGCTCGACGAACTTGATGGCGATGGCTCTACCGCCATCCACGTCATCTAGCGTCAGCTACCTCATGGCCATCTCGCTCGTCGGCGCCAAGATGATCAACCACTTCTAAAAATAAGAATTTGGCCGTTTGAATGTGATGCTTTTCATTGGTTATTGCGAATAAAGTATCTCTCTGGGAGTTCTCAATCTCACTCTCTTCTGTCTCTCTGTCCCTCTCTCGCTCTCTATCTCCCTCTATCTTTCATTTTTGATACAATTATTTTTTTGCGGCTTAAAACCATAAATCTCGGCTCCTAGAATCAACTAGAGTTTCGAGTAGCATTTGATCTCAATCTCCAGCATCCCAAACATTTTGAGAAAGTATGTGGATCTTCGTCTGAATTTGCATACAGATCCAAAATATATGTAAATAATATGACGCCCCCTCGATTAATCCGTCCTGATTCAGCCATTTCCCCAAGATGTCTGCCCGCCATTCGGTGCTCCTCGCGCTGGCCCTACTCGTTGTCCACCTAAGGGTCTCCCACGCCGTCAAGTGCTACAGGTGCACCAGCAAACCCGATGGCCCCGACGACGAGTCGTAAATCTTTCCTGTGGTCTGGGCAAAGTTCTTTACAGTCCCGAAGATTGGCCCCGTTATCATCCGGACTGTATGCAGGGCAGCAAGGTTGGCATTTTATTGTGTTGTCCATATTTTTTGATTGCTAGAAATTTATAAAAAAAAATATTTTTTTAAGATTTTGAAAATTCGAAAATGTTCGAGACTCCGAGCAAAATTCCAGGACTTGCCGACCTGCGAGACAAGCGGTCCTTGCCGCACGTACATGCTAACCGATCCGAATCGGAGGAGCTTGCGCAGAAGCTGCTTCCCTAGCGAGCTTCAGGTCTCCCTGGGCTGCCGCCGTGAAAAAGTGGAACAGTGTAAGGGTTTCGGGTTATTCAGTTTCTCTCTCCCCCCCCGCCCTGCCCCCGCCGTGCGGCCCAACTCCCAAGCCAGGAGTCCTATTAACGTGCCCAGCATCTCGAAATGTTCGCTATGGCTAACCTATTCTCCTAAGTCAAAAATTTCCAGAAATTTGTTGGCTCTAGGATTCGGGGCAATTTTTTCGGCTAAACTCCAGATAGCCCCCCAGTCAGCTCGGCCCCCATATGCCCTATTAATGCGCCGAGTATCTCAAAATGTTCGCCGTGGCCTAAAAGTTGAAGTTGGTCCCCCTCCGCGAATCCTAAATAACCAATTTTTTCAAAGATACAACGGCTCACTTCAGACCACGAAACGACATGGGAATGCTACTGTAACAGCGATCTGTGCAACAATTTGGATGACGCCTCGCTGAAGGCCAAGGCGGCCACCTCATCCGTCCCGTACCTCATCGCCATCGCCGTCGTCGGCGCCAAGCTGATCGCCTTTTTCTGAATTTCTTTTGCCCTTTCTGAATCGATTGTGATGCTTGGCACTGGGTATTGTAAATAAACTCTGAAACGCCAACTGCCGATAGTTTTAACAAATCTCAAGCGCCAGATTACGAAAAAGCAGCAGCCTGAAAGCACGAAAAATTTGCATACATCTAAAGCCCAGTTGCAGTCAGGACAATGAGCAAAAATTTGCAGCTACCTCGTGTTCCATTTCTCCAAGATGTCTGCCCGCTATTCAGCGCTCCTCGCGCTAACCCTGCTCATCGTCCACCTCGACTTCTCCCGCGCCGTCAAGTGCTACAAGTGCAGCACCATGATGGGTAGCGAAAGTGAAAGGTACTCCATTCACCCACCAGATCTGAATGCCATACGCCATTTGCAGCGTCAACGAACGCTGGCCGCCTCACCCGGACTGTCTGCAAGGCAGCAAGGTTGGCATGGTTGCAGAATTATACCTTGGTTTTTGCGGTTCTGGTTTGTTAGCGGGTGGGGAGGTTTAGCAGGAGGATTCGCAAACGTCACAAGGCAGCACAGCCGTTAGTTGCTAAAAGTGAGCCGAAAACGCGTAAAATATACTTTACCCACACCACAATACAAGGATCTTTAGGTTTCGCGGGGGGACCGACTTTTTCGGCCCAGGCCCAATTTTTTTATAAATAGCGGGCGCGTTTCTACATTTTTTTAGCGATTCCCCGGCATAAGCCCTTTGCGAATTTTTAATTAAAAATTTTTAGCTCGAAAAATGGATTTCTTTCGATCCAACGTGGCAAAATTTTCGACTTGTTCCAACATTTTAAGCTTGTTCGAACATCTTTCCACTTGAAATATAGGTAAAACGTGCTAAATACAATGTAAAAACACTTGATATTTGCTTATTAGGCCAGCCGGGGCTGCCAGGAAAAAATATTGGTTTCCCTCCGCCTCCCCGGGAATCTCCCCCTGCCGCGAATCCTAAGAATCTTCTTAAAGTATACTTTACCCACAATGGCAAATTTAGGAGTTGCCGACCTGCGAGAGCGCTTATTGCGTCGCAATTATGGGTGCTAATGGAACGTCGATGCTGAGATTCTGCTCCGATGGGCCGACACAATGCGGCAAGTACGAAGGTGGTGGCGGTGGGTAGCTATAGCTGCGTATTTTGAGAATTCTGCCTGGTGATATTAAATATTGTATTTATATGGTGTATTTAGTAGTTTTCGATTGCTGGAAACTTACAAAAACTTCTTTGACGTTTTGCAAATTCGAAAGCTTTTACCCTTTTTGGTCATTTTTCTTGCATTTTTGAGACAAGTCAAAAAAATCCTATTTTTTATCTTTTTTAGCTTTTTATCTCTAAAAAACTGTTATAAATGGTTAATAATTTGTTGTAGAACCCTACATGGTTTCCGAGAGAAAAATTTGTGCCCTCGCTAAAATCCCCCCGCGAGCAGTCCAGTCCCCTGTTAATATGCGTCTTCCAGTAGTTACGTGGAGCTGTGGCTGCACCACTGACCTGTGCAACGACTGGGATCCGGCCACGTTGAAGGCGAAGACGTCGTCCAACACCACCTTCCTCATCGCCATCGCCATCGCCGTCGTCGTCGCCAAGATGCTCGCCCTTTTCTGAATTATACGCTTAATTGTGATGCTTGGCACTGGATATTGTAAATAAAGACCCTGAAACGCCACCTGCGGAGAATTTCAACAAACCTCAAAGCTTCAAATCACGAGAAAGCAGCTAACGCTAAAACAAACGGAAAATTTGCATACGCTGAAATTCAGCTATCAGGAAAACTATCCAAATTCACAGCTACCTCGTGCTCCATTCCTCCAAGATGTCTGCCCGCTATTCGGTGCTGCTCGCGCTGGCCCTGCTCGTCGTCCACCTCAGCTTCTCCCACGCCGTCAAGTGCTACAGGTGCCACTCCGGCCAGGGCTACGACGGTTCCTACCACCCGGACTGCATGCAGGGCAGCAAAGTGGGCATGCGGTTTTCCAACCAGCCAAGCTTACGCGCAGTTTGGCCCGCGCCCCTCCAGCCGACGCCCACCTACCGTATCTCGGCTCCTCGTTATCCTACCGGGTAGTAAAGTATACCAAAATACTCATCAGAGTAAGGCGAACGGTTTGGTATACTATACACACCTGTAGACAAACGAGATACGAAAGTTGGGCGCCGGCTGGATGGGGGAGGGGGAAACTGCACTCTAACCACCCGCCATCCACCCTTTTCACCGTGAAACCTGGGGCTCTAGGACATGCCGACTTGCGAGGACGAGCAGTGCTACGCTCAGATCGACGTGGATGGAAAGGTTATGCAGCGATCCTGCGGCCGGAAAGAGCCAACCATCACCTGCGCCCCGCATAAAGGGATTGACGGCGGTGAGTGGATAGACCAGCTTGGGGTAAGACTCTAGTTTACCGCCAGCCCTAACTTTTGAGTCATACGTCCTATTAATGCTTAAACTATCTTGAAATGTTCGCCATGTTCGAATTGCCATGAAAACGTTGTTTCCTTACAACAAAAATTGTCATAAAATGGCTAAAGCGACCACGGCGAACATTTTGATATACTCCACGCATTATTGGAACGTATGGATGAAAAGTTGCGGCTGGGGGGGCGCTCCCCGTCTCTTACCAAAAAGGCTAACGCACAATTTTCCGTGTTCCAGTTATGCGGGTGGACTGTGGGTGCGACACTGACCTGTGCAACAACTGGGAACCGGCCACCCTGAAGGCCAAAGCGGCCACCTCATCCATCCCCTACCACATCGCCATCGCCGTCGTCGGCGCCAAGATGATCGCCTTTTTCTGAATTACTCGTTCGTTTGTGATGCTTGGCAGTGGCTATTGTAAATAAAGACTGAAATGTCGCGGGTGCATAAATTTGCTGCAAAAAGAAATTGGTTTCACCGTCCGAAAATTTTGCTACTAGCGCTGCTCTATTTTTTGAAGTTCTGAAAAAACCAGCGAAATTCACAGCCAGCTCAGCCGTTCGACAAGGCCGCTAATAACACAGGAGAAACGGTTAGGTTTAAACTAGGCTCTCTGTACCGGAAAATAGTGATCACTAACCGTCATAAAAAAATCGCCTGTTGAAGCTAGGAAAATTACGGGCTATAAAAATGGCGCCATTTTCGTGGAAAAAAGATCTGCGTGGTACGTCATGATCAGATTCGTCTTTGCCGAGGGCGCTGGGCACTTCGGTGCGCATGATCAGGGAGAGATTGGCAAGTGTTCAAAGCCGTATTCATCCTGGAATCGCCTAAGTTGTTTACCACGCCACACGTCCTTACTCCACAAATCAAGGCGAGCGTTTTGCTATGCCTGACAGCCCCATACCTCATAAGCAAGCCAAGCCAGATCATAACCAAGTTTTCAAATCCCTAACGCTTCAATAAGCTAATCGAACCCGGCCATCCTAACCAATGTCAACGGCAGCAACACCGATCTGTGCAATGAATGGGACGCGGCCACCCTCTACCTTACCGCCATGTATACCATCAGCTTCTTAAAAAAATATAATAATTTGGTTCAAATGTGATGATTTGTACTAGCCATTACGAATAAAAACCGAGAGCTGTAAACCATTTATAACAAGGTATAACACTTGACGGGGAAATGCACAATTAGACAAGGCAATGACAAGAATTGGAGCCCGGATTCGCCGGCGTGAAAAAAAAGTAGATAAAAACAGAACAACGAAAGGCGATAAGTTACAAATGGAACAAGTGGAAGGGGTGAGAAGCCGGCTTAGGGGGTGATGCGCTTCGGGTCACGAGGGAACATCGACGACAGACGGATGTTGTGCAGGCCGAGGAAGAGCATCGTCACGCGTTCCATGCCTGAAAAAGATAAGTAAAAATTTTGTAACCAAGGGCGGTTTATGAAGCGCAATGTAGATTTTCGAACTACAAATCTTCAAAAAGAACGTCGCGCAGTGAGACAAGGCCGTAACAAAATGCCGAATTACACATAATAACACTGACCAATTCCACCGCCAGCGTGCGGCGGGCATCCGTAGCGGAACGCGTCAATGTAGGCCTGGATCTTGTCGAGCTCGATGTTGTGGTGCTTGGCGCGCTCGGTGAGGAACGTCGGGTCGTGGATACGCTGGGCTCCGGAGAGGATCTCTTCGCCTAAAAAGAATTGCTTGAAACGCACTGGCTACGACTCTCCTCATACTTTTTATTCCAAAAACAACAAATAAAGCTCAACCCCTTACCTCTCATGAACATGTCGTAGCTGTTCGAGTAGCGCGCATCGTGCGGGTCGGGCATCGTGTAGAATGGCCGGACGGCGAGCGGGAACTTGTCGAGGATGTAGAAGTCGGTCTTGTACTTGTCCTTGACGAGTCGGCCGAGCTTCTTCTCCAGGGGCGTCGACAGGTCCTCCTCATCACCAATCTCTTCGCCGTTCTCGCGCAATATCGCCACGGCATCAGCATACCTAAAACAATGGATGAACGCTCAGGAAAAATAGCTGACTTCAAGACCAAAGCCGGCTCGCAGAACTCGAAGGGCTCGGCCGGGTATTGTTGCCCGACGGCGGCGATCTAAAAAGAAGTTAGCGCCGATTCCGAATTCTTACCTCATGGGCGTATTCCCTTTGCAGCCCCTTGAAAACGTTGATCAACACATCACCGATTGTGCGCATCACCTAAAAACGGCAATATAATCTTCTCCAAGTCACAAATTTTCGTTACCTCATGATAGTGGAACTTGAAGGCCATCTCCAAGTCAAGGCCGACAAACTCGGTCATGTGGCGATGGGTGTTCGAGTCCTCGGCACGGAAAACGGCGCCGACGGTGAACACCTAAAATCAGATTGAATTGATAAACTAGGCCACCAACCTTCTCAAAATCACCGGCGATTGCCATCTGCTTGTAGAGTTGTGGCGACTGGGCCAAGTAGGCTTGACCCTTGAAGTAGCTGACGGTGAAGACGTTGGCTCCACCCTCCGAGGCAGCAGAAATAATCTTCGGCGTGTGGATTTCTAAAAGCTTTGAAACCGAAAGCCTGAAGAATATTACCAGTGAAGCCACGTTCCCGAAGAATTGAGCGGAAAAAGTGGCAGACACCGTCCTGAACCCGGAAGATAGCTTGGGTGGTTGTTGTGCGCAAATCGAGGATTCTTAAAAAATTGATTTTTCAGAAAAAATACTACCTGTTATCAAGCCGAGTGTCGAGGTTGACGACCGCGAGCCCAGAAGGATCGTTTTCGCCGCGCGATGCGTCCTCGATTTGCAATGGCAGACGGGGCTCCGAGGAGGAAACAACGAAGACCTAAAACACCACAATACGAACCAATTGCTATTTCCTTACCTGAATCGGGTGCAGTTCCATCTCCTTTTGGGTACACGCCGACACTTCTTGCTCGGCAACGACCACCTTGGCCTGGATGTCGATAATCGACTCCTGAAAAGGAAATGGAAGCCAAAACACTGAAAATACCTTGGGAATGGCTCCGACAAACTTGACCATCTGCTTGCTCACGAGGTCGCCCTTGAAGAGACCAACCTAAAAATCGTGAAAGTTGCTTTCATGTAAAACTATCATACCTGGATGGTGTGCACCTTGTGACGGAGTACCAGGAAGCAGGATTTTCCGGTAGAGCGAGTGGTGTGTACACGGCCGCGAACCCAGATCTACAAGCAAGAGATTTAGCGGAAAAGCTTCAAATACCTCCTTGTTAGCCAGGTCCTTGTTGATTACGTTCAGCTCGGTGAAGACGATGTCCTTCTCATCGGTGGACTGGACGAGCCCGTAAGACCCGTAGCAGCCGACGCTCACGTCTTCTTCCTTGTCACCGCTCGCGTCATTGGCGGACGGACCCTTCTGAAAATACACATAGATAATGCAGCCGGACGATAAGCAGAAAGCTTGAAAATCATCCGTTTTCCGTTACCAACCTGCTGGGTCAGCTCCATCTTCTTTGCCTTCTTGGCGAGCTTGTTCAGCTCCTTTTTGCTCAGCTTCTTCTCGCCATCGGCGGCAGCAGCCTCTTGGTCCGACATGGCGCTGTAAACAGACTACCCTGAAAAACCAAAATAAATGGCACCCAAGATACACCAAACAAATGTTTATCTCAACGAAACTCGACAATCTACACAACTAGACCATATCTTCATCTACACCACTAAAATTCGCAAAGATCGTTGGGGTTAACCAGTTTCCGTCAGAACTGCAGCAGTTTTTCTATGAAAAATTTATTCACAGGGTTATTTAGACTAGTGCGACATCATCAATCAGCATGACATTGGCGGTACTAATTTAGACATGTGGGTACCAGAAGCTTCACATTCACAGCACGGGCATCACAAAGCTAAAGAGCCAAAAAAAAGTAGTGGTTACCCATAATAATGAACAATACACAGTATAAAAGTGCTTAGGATTAAGTACAAATGACGTTCAGATCATGGCTTGATTAGTGGGGGCGTTTCTCGGCGTGCTTCTTCGTGAATTCCTCGGCATTTTTGATGAACGTCTTCTTGTCCTTGGTAAATTCCTCGGCCAGGTCTCCACGAAGCGGGTGGTCGGGTTCGGGGTCGTTGATCAACTGCAGCAACGCCATCAGCACCTGCTCGGCACGGGTGGCCGGCTTCCAGTTGTCGGGGTGGACGA